GGGTGCAAAAAAATCAAAATATTGAGAAAATCATCTTTAAAGTTGTCCAAATGAAGTTCTTAGCAATGCATATTACTAATCAAAAATTACGTTTTGATATATTTACGGTAAGAAGTTTACAAAATATCTTCATGGAACATGATCTTTACTTAATATCCTAATGATTTTTAGCATAAAAAAAAAATCTATAATTTTGACCCATACAATATATTTTTGGCTATTGCTACAAATATACCCCAGCGACTTATGACTGCTTTTGTGCTCCAGGGTCACATTCTTTTAATTTTAGAGGTGTAACAATACACTCATGACACAATTTGTTTGATGCACAAAACTGATCTGACGATACGTTTCTCTCATGATACTTTAAACAAAATAGAGTTAAAATGGTAGGTATTTTTTTATTATTACATGCACATCATGTGATAAATGGTTAACAAAATAAGATACACAATAGAAATATTCATTATTCTGCTTAGCTAAAAATATAATTATTTTAGAATCATGCTTGCTCTCTGTCCCTGACAACATACATTTAAAAAAAAAAAATTTATTCAATAATGTATTTTTAATTTATTAATCATAATTAAGTATCGTGGAAGCTCAAATGTGTGAGCTTCTGGGTTTACCATATTTGATGCGTTGATCATTGTTTTTATGTGAACAAACACCTAAACTTTCATTTTTGGTTGAACTATTCACAATACATATTGTTGCATTTTTGTATTGCGATTATATTTTGACACAATATATTGTTACACCCCTAATATTTGGTAAGTTGTTATTTTTGTATCAGTGAGATACCATTATATGTTTTATTAATGTTTTAAATCAGTTTTTATTTTTATTTAAATTAAGTTTTTAGTAATTTTCTTGTGTTTTTTTGTCATTTTTAGTTTTTTTTTTTTTTATGTGTCTATAATTGTTATTTCAGAACTAAATTAAAATAAAAAAATGTTGGCAACTAGCTGAAATTTTTTTTGAATCTTATTTTATTTCAGTTAATGTTTATTTCATGTAATGATATAGTTTTTTTTAATGGTTTTAATTTCAGTTAACTATAATAACCCTGAGTAGTAGTATTATTAAAACTGAATTTTCTTCATTTGTGTTTGTAAATGCTCCCGTCTAACCACTTATTTTCTCCTGTCTTGTTACAAACTTTAACTAAAATTCAAATTAAAGTGGAAAATGTAAAAATAAAAATATTTTAATTCAAAATTCTAATTCTTATTGGAAATATTAATTTAAAAAAATGTACTAGTTTCTCAATTATACTTATAACACTGCTGAGTTTAAAATCAACAATAAAAACTTTCCATCATGCATTTTTCCATCATGCAAGTTTTAATGCATAATTATATAATTTGTACACAAAATTACAAAAGCCGTAAAATATCAAAAGTTTCGGTTTTAAAATTGATAATTTAACTTGCAGTCTGCAAAGCAGGGAAAAAAGTGAAAATCAGGATTATGCATAAAATAATGTCTTCAGAATCATTCATACATGTGAAAACTGAAAGCTGTGAATTGAACAAACAGCTGTAATGTGGCTCAGATTCAGACAGGAATCATGTCTTTGTGGTGTTTTTCTGCTGATTAAGGGATAATATGAGACTTCACCTTACAAATGGTTGTTGAAAGCAAAAATGCTACGAAATGCATCATATTTTATGAGAAAGTGTGACGTGTTTGAGCAAATCAGACACTATTTTTGGAATCAGCACCTCAAAATTAGTAAGAAACAAGTATTGGATTTTATTCAGCAAACATGATGCAGGTCTTTGCATTATAATGTCCATTATATTTTGCATTGTGTATAATTTTAGAGAGTTGTGATTAATTCAGTGTAATCGGTTTTGGTGCTAGATGTTGTGGAAGTGTTGACATGATTAGTCCACCTGTTTGTGCTGTGTTGCAGATCTTTGATATTTCCTGGGACCCGTTTCTGCAGCACAGGCTGGTGAGCTGCGGAGTCAAGCACATTAAAGTGAGTCACACCCCTGAGACAAAGTCCATCGAACCCGCTCTCGGAAACACATAAAACATGCCGTAATTTATTGCTCCTTTCCTTTGTTGTTTTTACTGCATTTTAATGCTTTTTCATAGACTTCATTTAAAGGAACAGTTCAGCCAAAAATCTAATTCTGTCTGAGTTAGTCAACCTGTATGACTTTCCATTTAGTTCAAATGTAAATGCATAGATGTCAAGCTCTAAAAATAAAGGTTATGCATGCACAATATTTTAAGTTTGCGGATACAAAAGATTTGCATGAGCAAAGTAGTTGATGTTTAGGTTTTCTCTTTCGTCTCACAGTTTTGGGCATTATGTGGCAATGCATTGACGCCAAAACGAGGGATTTTCGGAAAGACGGGGGACTTGCAAACCATCCTGTGCTTGGCGACGGCAAAAGATGAAGTGACGTATTCGGGAGCTCTTAACGGAGATATTTACGTGTGGAAGGGACTCAACCTGACACGAACGATACAGGCGGCACACGGAGTGAGTGAAGCTCATCACACTTCCTACACCATCACTCCCACCATATACACATCAGCTGTATGTGCATCTCCATTAAAGGACATCTGAAGTTGCAATGCATCCCACTTGTAATCAGATATTCAATGCATTGGCCATTTGTGTCATGCATCTATAACATTAGTGCATATAGCATGTGGTGACACATGTGACCTGTTGCACATGCGTTTGTAAACTCTCTTTCTTCATGCAGGCAGGGATCTTCAGCATGCACTCATGTGAGGAAGGATTCGCCACCGGTGGGCGGGATGGATGTGTGAGGCTGTGGGACGTGGATTTCAAACCCATTACCAAGATTGACCTCAGAGAGGCAGAACAAGGTTATAAAGGTAGAACATTACAGCTGGCTTTAAAGGGAACAGGATTTTTCTTGCCCTTTTGAAATAGAGTTTAATGTACTATGTGACATACTCAAACATTTACAACACAACACTTTTATTTCATTAACACATGACCGTTCACATTTATACATCAAGTAACTATTTATTATTCAGCCAATTGTGAATTACGTCAGTTTACACTAGTTCTGTAACAGAAGCAAGGCTGTAGAGTTTAGTAGAGATGCTGGTCTGTGGGACTTGATGCCAAAAACACGTTGTGCGTGTGGGACTGGAAAAAGGGGCGTGTCTTAGCCACCGCCACGGGACATTCTGATAGGGTAAGAACAGAACACACTGTTCCTCATTACCGACAGTTAATCACATCAGAACCGCAGAGTCCAACTAGTTCTGTAACAGAAGCAAGGCTGTAGAGTTTAGTAGAGATGCTGTGACATGTCCCTACCAATATCCAGCCACTACTAAATTGTCCCTAGCAATAATTTTGATCAAACAATTAAATGTCTGCTGTTATGTTCCCATCAATGCCAAAACCATTATTGACCATTTTTCAAAAGGAAATTGCATTGATCTCGATCCATTGTATCCATGATGGTACAGGAAACCCAGTATATACGGGATTGTGTCACCATGGCAACACGGCCTGCGCTTATATCACACGAGTGACAGTGTTTTCAGCAGATGTAAGTCTTGTAGCAATGAAGCTGTCAGCGCTTTCACAGCAGAAGACTGTCAGATAATTGGCTCTCAACAGGGTATCAAACTGTGCTCAGATTTGCCAGAGTCAGAGTCTCAATATGAACTCAAACAGTTCTCATTAAATGATCTGAGCTGCTCTCCACACTAATTTTTTAGTTCTGTAGTCTTATTGGATGAAGACACTGGGTTTGTTTATTTTACATTTTGCTGGTGTGTCCAATTTAGACTTCCATGTAACATGTTTTTGACTTTTTTTCCCGCTTTAAAGGTTCATTTTTGGGGGTTTTACAGCCAGTTAATGAGCCAAATTAAATTCTGCCCTGCTGAAAACACCAGCATATGACAACTGATGAGTGTGAAGCTTTTTCACTCTCTTTTACTCTCAATTTTACACAGCTATTTTTTGTGTTCATTTTAATTGTTCAATACAATATATATATATTTTTTAAGCTCTAAGGTCATCTTTTAGACGTGATGCTATTTTTCTAAGTAAATTAACTTTTGGTTCAGCATTACTGGTTTAATTCCTGTATGTGGATTTTTCTTTATGACCCATGTAATATTAATTTTACTTTTTTTTTCTGATTAGTAACAGTATTATTTATATACTATTGTGTTTATTAGTATTTTGAATAATTGTATTTTTTATTTTAATTTTAGTTTAAGTTTTAGTTATTTTGTTATGTGCTTTTGACTGTTTAATGTATATAATATATTAGGGATGTTCATTTTAACCGTTTAACCGACCGTAAGAATTTTGACCGATTAATACAATCAGTTAAA